CAGCTTTGTGTCCCCTTGGGAGGCTGCCGTCGGCAGTTGTTCTAACACTCATCTGTGTGCCACCGTAAAGGGGTTTTGCAGACGTGACTGAAGTCCGTAACTGGTTGACAGTGGGTGACGGAGATTATCCTGGGTGACATGGCCAGGCCCGACTCCACTAGGCTAAATGCCTCACGAGGAAGCTGTGGACGCAGGCTGCAGGCCTGCCGAGGGATTCTAGACCCACCTGCCCACCATCCCTGAGGCTGACTCCCTGCAAAGACTCCTACACATCCTCACCCCGGACCCAGTGCTGTGGCAGACGCCGCCTGGGCCCCCTTAGGCCTTGGCACTCAGGGCAGCACCCTCAGTGCAGCTTGCTGAGTCCTGCCTCCTCCTGCCTCTTGTCACATATACTTCATCCTCATTTGAAAACCATTTCCTGCAGCACACAACTAACATTTGAGTACTGACCAGACAGTATTTTATTTGAGATACAAAATGACTAAAATGAGATCCCTGCTCCCAATAACTCACAGTCCAATGGGGCAGACCCACGGGAACACAGCCACACCCACAGGACCAATCTTCCAGCGCACACACTGGTGCTAGAAGAGCATGGAGCCAAGGGTGGACCACCACACGGACGTGATGGTGTGGGATTAAGACAGGAAGGCCGAGCCCAGTCCTCCAGGCAGAATGAGGCTGGCCTGGCCATGCAGGATGGAACCGTGCAAGCAATGATCCCAAGGTGTGAAGAAATGTGTTTTCATAGAGCCAGGGGGCAGGGCAGGACAGGAGGCCAGAGCTGTGGGCACTGGCTGGTCACTGACGGCCTTCTCTGACCTGCTAGAGCTCTGGCGTTACCACTGCTGCTGTCACTACTCGCCGGAGCTTAGGGACTTCCTTCCTTCCATCCATCAGGTGAGAGCGTGTCAACCCCAGGTGTAAAATGCACATACCATTGCGGGGAATCGGAAGACTCAGTGAGGAGCAGGAGACCAGAGGGCCCGGGGGCCGGCCCCTGGGGAGGGGACGCTGCTGACCACGGCAATGAGGATGCGCTGGTGAGGGGCAGTGTGTGTCGCAGCCGCAGGCCAAGTGTGCCAGGAGGAGGTGCTGGGGCAGAACCGTCCCTCCAGCACAGCCGGCCAGGCCAGCGTCCCTGTCTGCGACAGGTGGGTGTGACTGTCATGACGGCGGCTCACATGGAAGGCAGCTGGGAGGCCGCATGTCCCAGGGAGAGGCCGACAGACAGCCAACACGAGCACTGCTCAATACGCACCATCAGAAGGGCTCACATGCACAGGAGCACAGCCCAGACCCCTGACCGTTTCCAGACCTGAGCCAGTTCTCAGACTCGGGCCCGCTGGCTGAAGTAGAAGCTGCACCCATGAGGAGAGACAGTGCCACGCCAGGGAAGATGCACAGGATACAGGATCTCAGGCCAGGGAAGGGACTCCCAGATCCTGCGAGGTCCCAGCTGATGCCAACACCATCATGGCCCCACTGGAGTACGGGCCACGGGTCAGGTAACAAGGGAGTCCCGGCCCGAGTCCTCCTCACTGTGAGTTCCCTGGGCGCACAGGTCCAGCCAGTGACCATTTCTCGGTTCCTGGGTGTATAGCCAGAAAGGACACACTCAGCGTCAGCAGAGCTCTCACAGCGTTCCCTGAGCGGTGGAGTAGGGCTTAGTGTAGGAGAAAGACCAGGTAGACACCCTGAAACCCTCCCATCCAAGTGCGAGAGCAAATTGAACACCGTATCACACCCTGGGGAAAACAGAGAGATTAAGGCCACCTTGGAGGCTTGAAGGATGTGGTGTCTGGTCCCCACATACTCCTGCAAAAACTAGACGGACCTTGGTGAATGACGGTGGACACTGCACAGACACGGTCCTGCTCATAAGCCCCATCGGCCAGCCTCAAGGCTTGGGCACCTCGCCTGCTGACTTAACATCGTTCAGTGAGGTCTGCAACGCTGGACAATCTGCAGGACACCGTGCTGACCGCCACGTCGAGGACATCCCGCTGCATTTGGTGAGCAAGCTGTGGCAAGTGCTCTGGATGCCCGGGTCATACATATGCTCCCCAGGGTTTGGACAACCTCCAGAGACTTGGGATACTATGACACCCATCCAAGGTGACAGATCATGAAGACAGGCACAGGACTAGGCAGGTCTCTTGGGGCCACTTGTGGTCCTGTTCACCCTTGACCTGGTAAGGAGCAAGGCTGCTGGTTGAGAGCAGGGCCTGGAGGAGCACGGCCTGCCACCCGTGCCACGGGCCCTGCAGAGTTCTGGAGAAAGCTGGTGGCAGACAGTGATGCAGAGACTGGCGGCCCCAGGGGGGCAGATACAGCTCAGACGCCAGGATCCTGGGGCCAGGCCAGCTACTCATGACACGGAGCTTTGGGCCATTCAAGGTGGCCTGACCACAGGCACCAAGTTGCCATAATTGCCCACTAGGAGCTGGGTACTGTCAGGCCACTGAGGCAGGAGATCGAGTGGCCCCGTAGCCATTGAGATCAGGGGGAAAGTGGTGCACGTGGGAGTGGCCGCCAGCTCATGAGTCACCCACCTGTTCCTCTGACCTCTCCCTCAGCTCACGCCTACGGCCTCACAAGGGCCCCTAGGACCCGCTGACAGAGCAGGAAAAACCCGAGTGTGGCTCACAGATGGGTTAGCCTGGTCTGCTAGCACAAGCTGAAAAGGGACCACAGCCCAGCCCCACTCAGGGCGGCCGAGCCCCCATGACAAAGCCTTGAGTGTCCACCTGTGTGAAGGGGCAAATGGCCAGAGGCAAGGACGCACACAAACTCACAGGCCCTGGTCAGCGCCCAGGGAGTGAGCTGGGAAGAGCCGGGAAGAGTGAGACACTCCAGATGACCTGGGGGCACCGGACGGCTGCTGGGGAGGAGCAGGATGGCCTGGCCGTGGGGGAGGAGGAGGATGGCCCAGCAGCTTGGGAGGAGGAGGATGGCCCAGCTACTGGGAAGTAGGAGGATTGCCTGGTTGCTGGGGCAAGCAGCTGGGCCTCCAACAGGGCAGCCATGGCCAGAGAAGAGGCTGCGGGCCCCTCCCCAAGGGCTGGTCTAGCTTCTGGCCACGGAACGGATGCTGGGCCCTGAGGATTTCACCAGCCCCAGGCAGGTGGGTGACATCAGACCCCTGCCATCCAGACACTGAGACACATGTTGGCCCCCATGATGCTACCTCGGCCGAGGGGCCACTTCTCAGTAAAGAAGTATGACTGGGCACTTCTGAACCTCCCACACATCCCGCCTTCTGGAAGGCTAACGAGATGTGGAGTGGCCTCTCCAAATACAGTTTTTATCTTTTTACAGGTGTATTTCAAGGACATGCTTACATTAATAATGTTTAAATTTAAGCAAGGTAAGTGCAATTACAATTCCGGGACTGAGTCTTCAGCATCGAACTTAAGGCTGTACAACATCCCTGCTCCATGAAAAGACAACAGCAGCCCATACAGAGGCGTGCACAGGCACATCTACACGGCAGGCCAGGTGCTTGCAGCCAGACACTTGAGTCACAGAGAGTCATGGGAGGCTGGGCAGTGGGAGAAGAAGCATAAGGTGCTGAACTCCTTAGAAGCAGAAAATCAGTGGGCTGAGTTCAGAGCTCTAAAACAAGGGCTATTGGAAGAAAAGGAATTCATCTTGGGTGAATGGAAGTCATGGAACCTCCTGGAGAAGCTGTATCTCATGTAAGTGCATCTTTGTGCCTTTCCTCCTGAATCACTCACACAACACATTTCACGAGGATCTGCGCTCCGAGCCTGTGCCCTGTCCTGGGAACGTGCCCTTTCCTGCATGAGGCCTAGTGGTCAGGCAGGTGGGCTAAAAACAGGGTGTGGGGACGGCCTGAGCCTGGGGAGTTGGCAAGGAACGCAGAGTCTCAGGCCCCACCTGAAGCCCAGAATGAGATCCTGGGCTCGTGCACACATCACACTGGAGAAGCTTCCACATGCGTATGCATCGGGGACAGAGCACTGAGGCAGAAGTGAGCAAAATCTGAGAGTGAGAGGTAAGAGGGAGCTGTCCACCAGGAAAGGCAGACACTGCAGGCGTTTCTCTCTCACACTTTCTTTTTTTTTAAAGATTTTATTTATTTATTTTTCCCCCAAAGCCCCAGTACATAGTTGTCTGTCATAGCTGCACATCCTTCTAGTTGCTGTATGTGGGACGTGGCCTCAGCATGGCTGGAGGAGTGGTGCCTCGGTGCGCACCCGGGATCCGAACCCGGGCCGCCGGCAGCGAAGCGCACGCACTTAACCGCTAAGCCACGGGGCCGGCCCCTCTCTCACACTTTCTAAAACCAGGATTGTCACAGTAAATCGAAGATGTCTTTACTGAAACTTGACCATAGATGTCTGAGCAGTAGGGGCTGTGACTCTGGGATCGGCCACCAGGGCCACCCCAAACCCTGAGCCACATGGGGTGAGTGACCCCTGGCCTGAGATGCCCCTCCAGTTCTGAGTGGGCAGGGAGACACTCCCCACACGGAGCTCCTACAGGGGGATTAGCCCACATGGGCCGCTGAACAGAGCATCCTCGCCCTGTGAGTGCCCAGAAAGGCAGGTCCTGGAGAAGCCTGGCTCCTGGGGGCTGACTAGAAGCCGTTCTAAAGATGAGAACCATAATCCGAGGCTGCCCAGATAATAATTTTTTTTAAACTGCTGACACACTCCAGCTCTCAACCTGTGTTTTCATGTCCAAGGTGCACAGCTTCTAAAATGCTGAGAAAAACAAACCAAAACAAAACCAAAAAACGCTCTGCAGGCATTTGAAAGTAACAAGTGCCACCCAAATAAGAGACATGTTTCCTTCAAAGGAAAACCCTGCGGGTGTTTACAGACACACCAGCCACAAGTCATTCTCTGATTGGGTAGTCTTCCCATGAACCGACTCTTCCCACCCTAAAGAAAAATCTTAATTTAAAAAGCTGCAATGGCAATTTTATCAAAAAGTGGCGACAACACAGAAAAGGCAGCCGTACTTACACTCGTCGGGTGCCGAACAGCAGCTTCATGTTGCAGCCTCACCCTCTGCGGCATCATCACGTCGTCCTGCAGTGAAGAACACACTTTAAACTCACATAGAGCAACTGGGCAAACAAGCAAGAAGAAGACAGACAATCCAAGAGCAAAACAGGCAAGAGAAGAGAACAGGCGATTCAGATGCTGCCCAGTGGACCATGACCCTGTCAGTCAGTTGGCAGGGACACGTGATGACCCGGCCACAGCAGGGAAAACGGAAAATGCTGACAACTCCAGCAAGAGCTGTCCCGCACAGCTGGCAGGCTGTGGATCCTACAAGCATCTAGAACGCCGCCTGGCATTGCCTAGCAAAGCGAAGGTGCAGACCCCTAGGACCCAGAACTTCAGGCTTGGGGAGAGATAGTCTTACATGTATGCACCAGAAGACACCCAGAAACGTTCACAGCAGCACGGCTCAGATCGGGCACAACCACATCCCCGGACACCAGACGGATAAATAAACAGTGCAGCTGCACTCAGATCCATTCAGCAGTGAGAGACTAAACGACAGCGACACCAAGGTAAATTTCACAGACATAATGAGAGTGCAAGAAGCAGGACAAAAGAATATAGAGAATATCATTCCAATTATTTAAAGTGCAGAATCAAGCAAAATTAACCATATTATTTAAGAAGTGCACATACAATGCAAACTACAAAGAAAAGTGAGAAAACTATAATCCCGGAAGTCAGAACAGTGATGGCTGCAGGGGCAGGAGGGGCACGCGGTTACCTCCTGACCCCGCAGATATCTGCTTCTTAACTCATCTTTAAAGCACATGTGTGTGTTTGTGCATTCTTCTATAGGTATGTTCTATCTCACAATAAAAAAGTGCTTTAGGTTGATGGAACAATCAAAAAGGTTTCAGCGTTTTATTTAAAGGTACAAACATACCCAATAGAAGAACTACAAATAATGTCATTGGAGGATATTTACCTTTAAACTGAGCAATAGTATAAACTAAAAGACTTGCATTTGTATCTCTTATTACCGCAAAATGGCCTCATTAGAATTGTGCTAATCAAATGACCTGTGGATGAAGTAAGCTCAGAGGAAACCTGCGGCTAATGCAAGGAGGTGGCTGGAGAAGGCAGGAGGGAGGAGGGTGGAGGAAGGAGGAGGGGGAGGAAGGGCGGCGGATGCAGGGTGGATGGAGGTGGATGGATGGAGGGGGAGGATGAAGAGGGAAGAGGAGGAGGAAGAAGGAGAGGTAGATGGAAGAAGAGCGTGGAGGATGGATAAATGGAGGAGAAGGAGGAGGAGGAGGAGGAAGAGAAGGAGAATGGAGGAGGAGATAGATGGAGGAGATGGTTGGAGGAGGATGTAAATGGAGGATGCAGGAGGAGGAGGAGGAGAATGGAGAATGGAGGAGGAGAAGGGAGGAGGAGGAGGGAGGGATAGGAGGCGGGGGGAGGAGGGGGCAGAGGAAGGCAGGGCCCTGTGCAGCAGGAAGCCGAGTCCAGGTGTGAAGCCAGAGAGGAAGAAACCGTCAGCACAGGAGCAGAAAGCCGACCGTGAGCTCGCTGCTGTTCCAGGCCCCGAGTCCCTCCCTGGCTCCAGGAGCAGCTCACAGTCACCTGCGTGGTCAACCCTGGTTGGGAATCTTAACGAGGAAAACTGAAGAGCTGCAGCAGAAGAGGGGGCGGGGTGTGAGGAGGATAAAGAGAAGTTATGCCACGTTCAGCCTATTTCATGCCCATAAAGGACACAGCAAGACGGCAGGGCAGAGACAAAAGGGGCGAAATTTCCCTGAAAGCTCAAGTGTGCTGATCAAATTCTGGAAAAGTGGCTCCTGTGTCTGGTGGCCTCATGTAGAACTCTACAAATTTCTGAGGGGCTCTTAAGCCAGTCTTGGACTCCCGTGTGGGCCTACAGTTGGGAGGGGCAAAGGCCAGCAAAGGCCTAAGGGATGTTTCAAAAGGGAGCTGGGGAGGCTAACGGAAGCCCCAGGTTGGGGGTAGGGACGGGGGTAGTCTCTGCCCCACAGCATGACCGCCTCTGGGACCCTGGGCCTGGCGACAGAAGAATGCACACAGACAAGCCCCCCGGCCTCCAACCCCAGCAAGCAGGCTGAGAACCCGGGCTCCCACCTGCTGACCCTCAGACCACACTTCATCAACACGCCAAGATGCCCACATGGAGGGCACCCTGTGCCTTTCCAGAACCAGGACCAGCCCAGTTCTGTAGCTCACTGGCCCTCAAAGATAAGTGTCTGCTCAAGACCAAATAGTATTTTCTTTTTTTTTTCTAAACATTTTATTTATTTTATTTTTTCCCCCCAAAGCCCCAGTAGATAGTTGTATGTCATAGCTGCACATCCTTCTAGTTGCTGTATGTGGGACTCAGCCTCAGGATGGACGGAGAAGTGGTGCCTTGATGCGCACCCGGGATCCGAACCCGGGCCACCAGCATTGCAGCGCGCGCACTTAACCACCAAGCCACAGGGCCGGCCCAAATAGTATTTTCAATTCATTCACCATTTACAAAACACTCACTTACTCTCTTTCTTGATATTTATCACAGTCTTCTACAGTTAGAGACAGAGCAGCTAAGCTAATATTATCCCCATTTTGTAGCCAAAGAAACCACAGTTTGGAAAGACTACATAAGTCACCCCAGGTCTCGTAGCAATTACATGTCAGAGTTAAAATTTGAACACAGGATTAACTGAGAAACCAATTTTACAGTCCGAGGATCTCTGCTAAAAACAAAATCGCCCAGAAATTCCTAGCTCTCAAAAACATTCCAGTATAATTCCCCATCACCTCTTCTACTAGAGTCCCCTCCCCTCCCTGTGGGGCGTCTGGATAAAGTCAACATCTTGAGTACAGAGAACACAGAGACGTCTAACATGACCACTAAGCCAGGAAACTCAGGGATGAAGGCAGCGAGCAAACATTCAAGCCTGAAGTGAACAGCTGACAGGTGCCCTAGCTACTCCAGAATGCACAGGGACCCTTGATTACCAGTGAGCTCCAGTTCTGAGACCACTTTGAAGGAGAAAAAACTTACTGAAAGATGGGAGAAGGAAAAGGTCTTTATTACATATGAAAAGCCAAGTGATGTTTTAATAACAAGCCAGATGTGTTTCTGCTGGTGGGCCTTTCCCTGGATGCCTGTCCCTATCAGCGCCTGTCCCAGGCTGACGTCTGCTCTGGTCAAGGTCCACAGTGCACACAGCTGGTGCCAAATGCCAGGATCCAGTCTGAACAAAAGTCAGCTGGCATTTAAAATGTAAAGGAGAGGGCCCTAAAGCACAGACAGAGAGGGTTACGAAGCATGAACTACAAAAGCATGGTCTGCACAGCCAGTCCTCGTCCCAAGGGTACCTGGACGTGGGCTCTTCTTACTACATGAGGGAGCTTCAAAAACCTCCATATTTGTTTGCCCCAAAGTGTGCAAGACGCCCAGCTTGGCTGCAGTTCCACAATGATAACTGGTTAGGAAACATTCTTGGCAGCCTATGGAAAAGAACTTTGATGTATTATAAAAATAACATTAATTCAGAATGAAGTATTGTTTCCTTTCTGACCATAACAATATTGAATAGAAAAAAGCTAATCTAGTCTAAGAATTGAGGAGTTAAAAGAAATCTGGAGTTTCAAGTTAAGCAGCTCCTGAGTGGAGGATATTCCTGGGAGTGCGTGGCTGTGGACTCCAGGGACAACCCACGGTTCAGGCAAAGGCTGATGGCAGACAGAGGCCCAGGATGGGCGAGGGTGCAGGACGGGCTACTTGCAAATGAAGGAAATGCAGTCAACAGCCAAGAAGATCTCCTTCTATGGAAGAACACAAGGTCGATTTGCCGCTGTTGTTGTTAAATCTTCCTTGGCTTTTAAACAAGTAAGATTTGAAGACACAGATAGAAATGACCTGGTCATACCCCAACCCTCAGGACCCACACTCCAAAGGGAGGACGCCAGAGGAGGGAAAAGAACAGAGCAAACCCAACCACATGGTGAGAGCCTGTTTCCACAGCACGGTGTCAAGGGACTTCCATATACCACCTACCGACGTTTGTTTCCCCATACTCCAAGCTCTGAGGAGAAGCAGTGAGCTCCAACGACTTGCTAGTCAGCTTGTGCTGCTGGAGCAGGATCCAAACTCAGGTCCAAACGCCTCCAGCCCACCTGCAGAATGATGGACGGGCTAGTGCAGACAACGTTCCCGCTCTGGTCAACCAAGAAACTGGTGTAAAATACTTACAAAGTCTTAAAAGCAGCAGAGTTAACAGGTAGCAGGGAACTGCTGGGCCCTCCCAAAGCTACTAGAAGGCACGAACTGAGAGGAAACCAGCCAATTCTTCCCCGAAGGCCTTGCTGGTTCACAAGAAACAGCTGCAATTCTGAACTGTGGTCCCGATAACCCCACGAGGCTGCAGGGGACGGAAATCAGAGCCAAGTGTCCGTTCAAGGTTGGGGGGGGCATGTGGAGGGCTGTCAGACCACAGTGGGTCACCTCCTCACGGTAAGAGGTGTAAGAGACACACAGCCTAATGGGGGCCTCGAGCCTCGGGACGGATTACAGTGGTCCCAGGATGGGGTTCTCCCAGGCCCCCAAGGAGCAAAGGAAAATCTCCGAGGGGATGGACGTTCACCCAAGGCCTGAAACGAGCTCACAGAGACCACGACCAGGACACAAAGACAACCAGGCACACAAGATAAACACACGAAACAGCAGACGACAGAAGACTCCTGCAGAGCGACCACTACCAGAACAATTCAGAAAGAGTTAAAAACCAATAATTCACTACAAACAGGACATCAGAAAATATCTATTCAATAAAAAAAGGGATGCAGTAAAAGAAGAACAGAGGAACAAAAATAACCTGCAACACAACAAATAAATAGCAAAATGGCAAAATCCAACCATATAAAAATAAAAAATGTAGGGGCCGGCCTAGTGGCGTAGTGGTTAAGTTTGCATGCTCCGCTTTGGCGGCCTGGGGTTTGCCAGTTTGGATCCTGGGTGCGGACCTCCTCACTGCTCATCAAGCCGCGCTGTGGCAGGCATCCCACTTATGAAGTAA